AGTCCATCAGCCTTTATGGCTCAGATAAGTATATGGACAGGAGTTGTGAGTATAAATGCCAAGCGAGTAACATAATTTAACACTTTAGCTCTACCAAAACCCCCTTTGCTCTACCAAAACCCCTTTAGCTCTACCAAACCCCCCTTTAGCTCTACCAAAACCCCTTTAAACTGTCTAAACTCTATCCAATGCTTGCCTGCAGTGCGCCTATGATTGTCATAATACTGTAATATTAATGTAAAATCAGTGTCAATAGTGAACACGATTGACGATATTTTAAATAACAATAAAATAAATGTAATATCAAACAAATATATATTACAAAACATGGCTATAGATTTACCACAATCTATGAACACATCGCGTGCACTAATTGCTAATCATGATAAATTTGAGAAAATAATGAATAAAACATATGAATTATCAGAAAGAGTACGGACGTAAGTGAAGTAATGTATTTGTATGAGAGACTCAAAGTTGTGATAACTTGAAAAGTTCATATCAGATTTTGACAAACTATATACCAAATTGTTTGAAATAAAATATGACTTGAGATGTATATCAGGAATTTTCTTGTAAATAGGGTAAATATGAGTATTGTGGTATATAGTGATAAAATATACACAATTGTAACTCTTTACCATTTAAAATCTACATGTTCATAAAATTGTTAGTCCCATAGTTTAACAAACATTAACTTACTATGTTTTTCATTAAACAGTCTAAAAACTAAAAAATTAATACTGTAGATATTTAGCTATATCTTGTTTATCGATGGATTAATAATGTTTTTAATATTAAAATATTGTAAATTTTACAAAGTATGTCTTTTAATATTTAATTACAAACAATTTGGTACACTGATTGTGAAAATTGAACATTTAGATTTTAAATGGGAAGGAGTTACAATTATGTATATTTTATCACTTTATACCACAATACTCATATTCATCCTATTTACAAGAAAAATCCTGATATACATCTCAAGTCATATTTTATTCCAAACAATTTGGTATATAGTTTGTCAAAATCTGATATGAACTTTTCAAGTTATCACAACTTTGAGTCTCTCATACAAATACATTACTTTACTTACGTCCGTACTCTTTCTGATAATTCATATGATCTAGATGAGATGTGGAGAATCATTTTATTTCGGGAAATGATTGCTGGGAATATTGTATTCTTACCTCCAATTTTTCAATTAAATAAATTTATTACTTTTTTCACCTTGTTTGTTGACAATCGTTAATCAATTAGTGAACACAAATATTTTCATGAAAGCGCGTTTTTTATTATTGGACAAAACGTTGATCACACCATAAAGCAACAATTAATGATCATGTTAGTATACTGTATTATTTTACTACATATTATTCAAATGAGGATGAGACAATCCATTGTAACTTTAAAATTTAATGTATACATTGTGCAAAATAGAAATATTAATGAATTTTATATACAGTAGTTCAAAGTAAAGTACAGTATATGTTTAATTTTTTGGTATTTATATGGATCTTATTTTGCTAAAAGTTTCTAATTTAGTTTCTAAGTTAATAATTTCTAGATAACTAAGCTTTTATATGTTTTTAATAGGTTTAATCGTGGCATTGAATGTGGTTTGATTTATTATCATCAGATTATTGAATCTATAATTATGAAACATATATGGATTCAAATGCATAAAAAACAAAACACCAACAATATTATTGATATAAATTATAACACATATATGACATAACAATTGCCGATATGTCTAGAAATGCATTCTCGCTGTTAATCACCGGATATTTCATTGCATTAATGATAATATCATTTGAATTAATTATCTTTAATAGAGTTGTCATTTATATTTGTATTATATTTATTCTCTAATTTGTAAAAAATATATATTCATATTAAATAAAAAGTCAATTGAAATACAAGGATATTCAATATCTGTCAGGTAACTTGTTTATGACCAATGTACAAAAATTCAATTGTAATATAAGTTAAATCAATACTCATAATATTGTTAGTCTTAACATGGCACTATGGGACCAAAAAATTAAATTAGATTCTAATTTAATTAGTTATATTTTTAAAATATTTTCAGGTCATTTATTTTAATCAGACCCAGTTAAATTTGCAATTACTCAGGAACCATTTTCATAATAAATTGAGTGCAAAACACATCTATTGTTATTAACTATTATATTTATTATCAAGATTTTGTTATTGTTAAAATTTATTTAATTGTGTAAATGTTATATATTTTAAAAATTATTGTATTTATAACAATTTGTACAAATATATTTTGGAACTGAATGAAAAAATGCTATTTTTAGGCATTATGCAATTCTAATAAATAAAAATAATTATATTGATTAGATTTGTATAATATATTTGCATAAAAATATTCCAAATAGCACATTTGAATTGTAAATGTATTTGCTTACTGAAATTAATTAAACTATTTTATTGATTTACTTTTTAGTAAATGCAAAATGTTGGCACAAAGAAATAGTATACAACATTAGTCTCCAACACAAGATATATTTGTATAAACTATATGTAACATTAGATAATTTTGTAAAACATGTTAAATTGTTTCCATTGTTTAAATTAAAATTGATCAAAACAAACAATTTAAAGTTTTATATATGCTATTGTAGTTTTATAATTCAATTTGTAACCAATTTAATTTGTTTAACAATAGCCAACCACATTATTAATATGTGGTATTTATATTCTGTTTTTCCGATTTCCACCATACCAATTACTAACACATTATTTTATTGCGATCATCATAAAAATAATATTTCATTTAACAATTATTTAATAATCGAATCACCGGTAATTATTAAAAATACATGTATTAATATATTTAAATTATATTATTATTAATTTATGTTTTATTCAATTAATTAATTTTGTTTATACTAGAAAGTGTTATATGGAATGGATTTTTCATTTACACAACATATAATGTGTGAATTAAATATCCCGATTCAATTTACAGACACAATGATAGTAAGCTTAAATTTAACACAATAGTAGAACATTTTAAAAAGTGTTTGCTTAATTAAATAAGTTTATACTGAAATAATTAAAATTAATAGTTTCACACATCGTTCAAAGCGCACACATCAAGGAATTTAATATATTCCCAATTTATTGGTGTCCCGTATAAAGAGTCATATTTGTTCGAGATTTTATCAGGGTTACGATCTAATCGTGATATATCATTGATTGGTATATTTAAAATATTTGATTATAAGGTATTTATGTTTCCATTTAAATTTTGATTTTTTTATCTTGGTTGTTTAATAAGCATGCTTAATATGATTAATTATTCAATTAAATTTATTAATCAAATTGTTCTAATTAGTTTATTTGATAAACAACATTAGACATTTATTTTATATAAAGTATATTTAATAATTTACATTTTAAAAATAACAATTTTATTGGTAACAAGTATGCTAATTATATTTAAAATAGATTTGGTTGTTTATCGTTATATCTGCGTGGATTATTGTAGGGTTATTAAAATGTAAATATCCTGCTCATACAAATTTACCATATGAATTTATTGACATATTTAACCCAATTGTTAATCAATCGAATAATTTATTTCATAAAGTATTCAATTTAAAAACCACTGGAATATCAATGATTGCATTGATTTATATATGGATTATAAGTTCACTATTGATAACAAAATTTTATTGCAACGATTTATTGGACTCTTATATTAATATAAAATCAGTGCCAATAGTGAACACAATTGAAGATATAATGCAAAACAATAAATTGAATGTCTGGTTAAATAAAGTTGAATATTATACAACTGATATTGTTAAAAATACTCCTGAATTTAATGGCACAATGCGTGCACTTAGTGCGAGACATGGGAAATATTTACATTTAATTAATAAAAAATACAACAAAAACAATAATAATTATATAAAAATAATGCAAGATATGATCGCCGGGAAGGTTGCTGTATTGCTAAACACTTTACAACTGGATAAATTGTTAATGTATTACAAGCAGTTGTTTGGCAATCGATACTCTATTAGTGAACACAAATATTTTCACGACACCATGTATTTTATTATTACAAATACATGTGAGTCTAGACAACAATTAATGAATATGTAAGAATACCATGTTACTATTTACAGTGTGAATACAATACTTGTTTTACTTTTTAGTGGTTTTGCCTACTACAATTTGTTACTTTTAAAACTATTAAACATTTTAAAAATATTTTAACAGGTTTAAGCGCGGCAATGAATGTGGTTTAATTCACCATCATATGTTGATTACCTATATAATTAGAAGATATTCTGATATATTTAAATATAATAATAATAAACTCATGAATGATTTGATTTTACCAAATGATAACACATATAATGACATAACAATCGCCGATATGTCTAGAAATGCATTCTCGCTGTTAATCACCGGATATTTCATTTCATTTATTGTTATATTCAATGAATTTATTGTCTATAATATTAGATATTATTTATTTATTACTATTTATTCAACATTTGTAAGCGATATGTCGTTACAATCGGTCACTACTGAACGCATTGTCTCTCATAATGGCATTCCTGCCACTTCTGGTATCCCTTTCCGTATGGTTAGAAAGTATTGAAATTGTTATCAATTATTATATAACGTATTTTATATATAATTACCGCACAAAGTCATTGTAAAACTATTTACACTTTAATTATCTAAACATTTGTGTATTCTATTGTAAATATCGCTTAATAAAAAACATTTTTAACCATAATTCCTTTATGAAAAACATGATTTATAGAATCGTTTGACCTCTCGCTTATGCACGATAAATAGATACACCTGTCACAAATTTAAATCACTTATTGTCAACAAATTAATTATTTTAAGTATTCAATTACTTTAACAACAGTTTATTCAACTTTTAATACACTGAGGAAAAGGTAACATCATATTCGTATCCCCACACCTCTCTATAGCACCTACGCTGATGTTTCGCTGTCAAACACCGTACAGTACACACTCTATACACAATACATTAATTATTACAAAATCATTGATATGTTTTAAATTGCATTTTAACATTTATTAATTATAGATTAAATAATGTTTTAAACAAAATAGGTTAATTGGATTGAAATTTATTCATTTATTACTATAATTTTATGACACTTTGTAAGTAACTGTTATTTACAGCTTGTACTGTACAGTGTTTGACAGCGAAACATCAGCGTAGAGGCTATAGAGAGGTGTGGGGATACGAATATGATGTTACCTTTTCCTCAGTGTATAATAATACAACTGTATAATTAGTTTTATTGATTATTTAATGTAATAAATTATAATATTGTATATAAAGAATTTACATTATTTTAAATGTCAATTATGTTTATCGTCTTAATTGAATTAAAATTTTATAATTTAAAACATGCAAAATATTATACAAGATATAAAATTGCATTTTAGATATATTTTTCTTAACGTAAATGTATTAAAAGCATAATAAAATAAAATACTTTATAAAATCTAGTTTTATATATTGTATAATACGTATATCATTATAAATAAATTACAGATTATTATTCAATATTAAAAATAAAGAAATTGAACAAAATAAAATAAAAAACTTTATATAAAACGCAAATATACAATGTATAAATAAAATCGTAATGTTGTATAACTATAGCAAGTGACTTGTCTGCGCACACCTCAGACTACAAGCGATAGTTAATGTGTTTTGCGAAATAAGATCTCATAAAAAACTGAATTATTAATAGATTTAAGTGTATTTAACACTGAATTGAATTCCTTGTGATTCGCGACAACAGTCTTATTGATACCCCAGTCGTTATGTGTGGCCAACACTTCCCGACAATCGGGTCGTTTCCTCCAATTGGGTGTTTTGGCCATTTTCTTAAGCATTTGATACATGCATTGTATGCACTGTTTGAACGCTGACTCATTGGCTTCAAATGATTGCGAACTATAAATCAATACACAATCAAAATATAATTAAATTTTTATATACAATAACTTTAATTACTTACGCCTGAAGATCGATACCAAACAACTGTTCACCGATTATATGAAGACTATAAATGTCTGATTTGTGGTTATATTGCTTACCAGAAACCACTTCGGGTGCCATATATGCCAAAGTGCCCACAACCGAGTGCTCGTATCGGCTGGCAGTTTGTCTGTCGATGTTGTGATCGGTGGCCAAACCAAAGTCACATAGTTTTACAAACCGATTGGACTCAATGGTGTGACCAATTAATATGTTGTCGGGTTTGAGATCCCGATGAATAACTGGCGGATCAGATGAGTGCAAATACTCGACACATTCTAAGATCTCTTTGAATATTTCACTTGAAATGAAATATTCAAACACACTATTCATGTGTTCTTCCGATTGTCTCCCGAAAGCAATGACTTTGTCTTTAATAAAGGATTTAAGACTTTGCGGACAGAATTGCATTTGAATGTAGAGATGATTGGACTCAAGCCATGAGTTGTAATATTTGACCACAAAATTTGAGTTCAGTTTTGCCAAACTTTTTACTTCTTTAAGAATGTTTTGTTTCTTTTCTTCACTAAAATCTGAAAAACAAATTTAATTTTTGTCAAAATTATTTAATTTTAATTCAAAAATATTTAACTTATATTTACCCCCGAATTGTACTCTTTTAACGGCATATATCTTATCATCCAATCTATGCTTTACTTTAAATACAGTCCCAAAACCACCCGAACCTATGGCTGACATCTCAATGAATTGGGTTTTATAATTACCATCATTTGAATTATTAATATTTTTATTCGCTTTAATCGTTATATTTTGCTGAATTTCTTAAAAATTAATACAATTATTATTTATATAATTTTGATTAATTTTTTATATTTTAAAAATTACCTTTCTCTGAATTATGACTGTCAACAATAGGTAAATGCGATAGTTCATTTTGTTGCTGTCTTTTAATAGGTTCAAATTTTTCAACAACTTTTTCTTGTTTATCTGTCAGTTATGTAATAAAATATTAATTTATAAATTATATATTTGCTTATAAAATATAATTACCATTATTTGAATTAGGATGAAATAGTGTATTGGAAATTAATGGTGTTTTTGTGTTTTGTTTCAAATCAATTGTATTATAGGTTATTTTGAATTCATCAGCATAAGAGTCAATAAAATTATTATATTCTTTAAAAAACCCGAAAGAAGAATATTCATTTTTGTCGTATGGTTGTGAGCATTTAAAAATTTTATTATCAATTAGCATTGAAATATATGCGGTATCCCTCGCTAATGCGAAAATGCTATTAATATGAGAATGAACATGCTGCAATTCTTGAACTTTATATTCTGATAGTATTTGTTTTGGGATATTTTCGATCAATCGTATATCACGTAATGATGAGTAAATTTCTCCGCAATAATATATACCAATTGTTGTGTGTAAAAATGTCCCATGTTTATTACAACTGACTGTTTTAGCATCACTTATTGTTGTGATTAATCTCGGTTTCGATACCTTAAAATCGGGTATATTGTGTCCCAAATGATGGGTACTATTGTAACCCCAACTGAAGACATGTCCGTCGGATGTGATGGCAAATGACGAGTTGTTATAACAATAAATTGATATAATTTTAAAACATGTTTCAAATTCTATTTGAATGGGTGTACAACTGCCCCCTGCATATCCAAGTTGGCCACAACTATTGTCACCCCAGGCATACACCTGGCCATCACCGGTGAGGGCCAGTGTGTGTTTATAACCACAACTGAGTTGTACAATGTTTTTATCATTGAAATATAGTATTTGCTTAGGTTTTTGCCAAACAGTGTCTTTAATTTGAACCAATTGTCCCTGCTGGTTACTGCCCCATCCATATAAATTATTTATATCATTTACTGCTAATACAAAATCACTTCCATTGACAAAGTATTGTATGTTTTGATGACATAATTCAGGGATCAGTTCGGGTGATAGTATAGGTGTGTTGTGTCCAAAACCAAGACATCCCATACTATTATTGCCAAAACCATAGACCATATCATCGGTTGTGATGAATAAGACATTATGATTATTACTTGGATCAGTGAAAATATGTAATTTTAAAATATTTTCTTTGATATCTCGAGGTATATCTTTACACAATGTAAACTTTTCTAATAAATCACACATTTTAATAAACAAACTATTGTAATATATTTAATAATTTATCCAAAACGCGTTTTAATTAATGTAATAATTATTAATTAAATAATTTCTCTATAATCTTAAGAACAAAGTATATTTGCATTATTTCGTTAATAACAGTTACATACTGTATAAAACTTATACATACGTATATTGGTATCAAATATAATAAGAAAATACCATTGGATACAAGATATACAATCGTAGATAAAATTATTTACTATTTCAATAACTATTGTTATTATCAATATGAATAAAGGTTAAAAATGTTATACAATGTTATAATGTAAATGTAATAAAATATTGAAACTAGCCAAGGTGGCCTACCCTTGGTTAGTTGACCTACGGAGAGCACTTTCCACACACTCACTCATACTCACTCCAATGCTGCTGTCCATCCATACCAATTCAGTATTAAAAACACAAGTATTAATATAAAAACTATTTATTCAGGATTATAGCCAAAAACAGTATTAAAAGTATATTATATTTAGTATTATGATTAACAGTATAATAGGCATAAAGTATTCAATATTCAAACAGTATTACCACAACAGCATTCATTCAGGGCCACCAGTGCTCTGAAGCTAAGGGTTGAAAGAGAAAACGAGTTGCGGTGCTCGCCGCTTATCTGTATGCGTGTAATATTGGGCGGCGTTAACATTAGCCTATCGGTATTATGCTAATTATCAGTGTATCGGCCCAATACCGCTTACAATATTATCAGTAATTTATACAGATGCGCATTTTTGTTTTTAAGAGATCGTGCAGTTAAAATATTTTATTGCAACGATTTATTGGACTCTTATATTAACGTAAAATCAGTGCTAATAGTGAACACAATTGAAGATATCTTACAATGCACTATTCAAAAATGCATTTAACTTTTCAACATTTTTATTTTATACAAATAGTCATAGAATAAGTACAGTAAGTAATTTTATAAATATCCGTAAATATGAGAATATTCTATAATTTTAATACTAAATTAAGTATTTTTATATTTATTGAATTTATTGTATATTATTTAATTCGTAATTTATTTCTCACTTATTTTAAATTTTATTTCTAATAAATACAATATAGATTTTAAATGAAACCATAATTGTTTAACCATAATTGTTTTCATATTATAAAGTTATCAAATTACTTTATAATAACACTAGTTTACTACCCGTCGTGTAACCATTATATTTTGAGCAATTAGATGACCCTGTTCCCTAAAACCTACGCTGCCCACCTATACCTGCATACCTAACTTAACCTAACTTAACCTAAACCAACTTAATATAACTTAAACAATATAAATTGAGAGTAAAACTTGCTTATGAAAGGGTTGGGTAAATTTCCCGGGGCGTTGGTTATGCCTGGCAGTCATATTCACATTGCCCGTGGCGTTGATTATGCCTGTGAGTTCTGGGTACATTACCCGTGGCGTTGGGTATACCCGGTACCCGTAGGTAAATTGGGCAAGTCATTGGTTATTGCCTGAGACCCGTTTGTACATTGACCGAGGCGTTCGTTTTAGTTATACACCCGTTTGGTAGCCCCGGCCATCATAAGTACCGTATTTGGTGAGGGGACGTTCAAAATTATTGACTTTATTTTCTCAATGGGAATTGTGGCCAACAATCACAGCCCCACGCGCTTGCAATTTGGGCCCAAAAACCGCTTTTACAACAATGAAAAATCTCCGCGCACTTCCATTTTCCGTTAAAAATAAATCAATTAAATCAAAAACCATTGTTGAACGCCCTATAAGTTAATTGTTAAAGACGTGTTTACCAAGATAATCTTTTGATATATAGTAACTAGTTTACGCCACCCGTCAATTATTACTACTTTTTTATGCAATCACATTACCTTGTACCTTTACACCTATTCTGTATTATTTGTCCTCTACCTGCATACTCAACCCAAAACCAACTTAACCTAACCTAAACCAAATCAACAATACATTAACCCGCGTGCTTGCAATAAAAAAGTAGTAATAATTGACGGGTGGCGTAAACTAGTTACTATATATCAAAAGATTATCTTGGTAAACACGTCTTTAACAATTAACTTATAGGGCGTTCAACAATGTACCCAAAACCAACTTAACCTAACCTAAACCAAATCAACAATACATTAACCCGCGTGCTTGCAATAAACAGTTTTTTAACAATGAAAATCTCGGCGCGTTCGGGTTTTCCCGTCAAAAATAAATTAAATTAAATTCCCAACAATGGTCTCGAGATAGTTTTAATTGTTATGCGTATTGTTTACAGAGAATATCTTTTTAAATATATAGTAATTGTTCGAAGTACATTAAAATAACTATAGTAAAAAACAAAGAATTTTAAAAATGTAATCAATTTGTTATTATTTATTTATTTTGATATTTTTAAATAATTTTATTTTGTGTATAATGCTCCAAATCAAGAAATACAGATTTGGTGCTATTAATATTCATTATATGCGAATAAATTGTACGTATAATAAGACTTTAATATTAATTTGTTCTAGTAAATGTAATATGTTTATTACTACATAAAAATGTAATGGAAATAACTTAAGATTAAATTGTAATTTTGTTATATAAACAATCATTTAATTAAACATTTATATTTCAAGTACATTTTAATCATTTAGATATTAGTTTTGTAAATTATATTCTAAAATTGGAAATACGAAAAGCATTAATAATATTATTTATTATATTTAGATTAACTGTTTATTTAAATTAATATTTGGAGAGATAATAATGCAAATAAAAAATTGTTTTCAAATTAAATTTGTATATAGATTAATATAACGACCTTAACTATTATATCGATTAACATATTTAGTAAGCGTATTTTCGAAAATAATGTACCTATTTAAAAACATTAATAAATAGACAAATGTACTGCATATGTATTAGGCTGTTATGCCAATTGTTTTTATACTAAGCTTATATTAACATACAGTTTGGACATTTTGTTGTTATTTGAGTATCTGATTTATATTCTGTGAAGTTATTGTATTTATTAATACTATATTAAATTAATTCATAGATATATTCTGTGTCTAAGCAATTGTAATATAATTAAAGTATGAACGTACTCACTAGTCAAATTGAGCATTTATATTCTGTTTTACCTTTTTCTAATTTAACTTATCATAAATTGTATCATTGTAATCACCAAGGACAAAATATGACACTAAACCG